CCACCGTGGTTTGCTGAGACACCCAGCAGAGCCCCTGCAAACATGTGCCACAGCCTGGCACCCCTCCACCATCACCACCACCACGAGAGGAGCAGAGCATGGCCCAGTCCCCCTGAGCAGCCCCCAGACCAGACAGGGGCCATGGCAGACACCCCCTGCCCACAGACATCCTTCCAGCCCCCTTGGAGCACACTCCCAGCCCACAGCCATCCTCAGCTGCACACTGAGGAGCCTCCCCAGGGAACCAGTCCAAATTATGGTCCTCCCTGTCCCAGACCCACAGCCAGACCAGGAAAATCCTTCTGCAAACAACTCAGGTTGTTGGAAAGCAGCAAATAAAGACGTGGTGGTGATTTTCTACACAGCCCATGTGTGTTCCTGCCCTGATTTCATCATGACCTCACCACAATGGGCAGAGGGAGGGCACCAGCTGGTTTGAGGGCAGCAATCCAGGACCCCTTGGGGCACCTCAGCCTCAGGGGAGAAGGGGCAAATCCAGCCTCAGGTCATTCAGTGAAGGGGGGGATAAAGGCAGGGGTGACTCTGCCCTCAGGCAGGATCAGGAGGTTCCATGGATTCAAATGTTTGGCTTCTCCTTCTAGAGACCCTCCAAACCCTGTCTCCTCCCAGGGAAGAGTTTGAGTGGCCCATCAGGGCACCAGCCCAACTTGTCCTCCCTCCCTGCCACACCAGCCATCACCAGAACAACCAGAATCCCCCAAAAGTGCTGCATCCCCACGCCCAAGAATGGAGAAGAGACCTTGTGCATCTCATTAAATACAGGTAGAAATTTATTAAGGATGGGGGGGGAATCCCACAGCTTTTTAAAAAAGTATCAAAAAGAGACAAATGAGGTGAGGTGTCTGTCTTTGGCTGGAGCAGCAACTGGAGGGACAGAGTGGGGCTGAAAACCGGCCCAGGGTGGAGGGAGGGATGCAGGGAGGGATGCAGATGCTCCTGGGCTCACTCAGCAAGTGGCTGTAGAGAGTGAGCCAGGCTCTCAGCCCTTGAAAATCCATCCCAGGACACCCTAACTGGGGCATTCCCACCTAGCCCCACTTAAAAGCACTGAGGCCTCCAGCACCAAAGCAACACATCTCAGGGGAGAGACAGCCTGGCACCAGCCTGGGTCCAAACCAGCCCAGAGGGGTCACCTGGACCCCAGGAAGGACCTGCCTTGGTGCCATGGCTGGGGGGAAGGACGAGGAGCTGCTGGGGAGAGCAGCCCAGGCTGGGGCAGGTGGGAATGTGCAGCCTTGGGCAGGGAAGAGGGAAGGTGAGTGCCCCGTCCTGCACTTCTCCACCTGACCAGCACCACTGGAGGAAGGAAGGGCTGCCTGGGTCTCCACGCTTTGAAAAAGAGAAAGGGGAAACAGCAGGGACTCGAGGCAGAAGGTGGGAGCACCAACACCTTCCTGAGAGGTCTGTGGGCTCCAGAAACAGCCCCCCAGGGGGTTTTTCTCTATGTCTGCTTCCCACCATGGCACTACAAACACAGTCCTTGCCACTCCTCCCCTTCCAAAAGCAGAATTTCACTGAAATAAGGGAAGGAAAAGCCCTCTGTCCCAAGTCTCGCCTCTCCACCCAGTGAGGAGCCAGGTGGGAAAGCAAAAGCCTCCTTGGGGACCTCGGGGAACAGGACTGAAAAATATCTTTGAAGCTCAGCCCTGAACATCTTGGAGCCATGACAGAGACTTGAGGGAGCCCAAAATGGGGAAACCCTGGGCCTAAAGAGCTGTGGATAAAAAAAGTGCCCCTGCAAAAAGGGGGTTGTGTTCACAGTATGAGCTGCAGTGCTGCAGGGCACCGAGGTGGGACAGGGCCCCAGGCAGGCAGAGACACAGGCTGGAGACTTCAGCAATTTCACCCCAGGACTGGGAGTCCAGTCTGGCCACGGACACACCAAAATCCCACTTCCTTCAGCCCCTTCCCCACACAGGCAGCAGCCAGAGTCAGTCCCCAAACCAGTTACAACTTCCCAGCATCAGGAGGGAGCCCCAAAGGGGTTCAAGGCAGGGTTGGCTCAGCCCTGCTCCCCCAGCGTTGAGCAAGGGGTACCCCAAACCCACCATCCCTGAGCATGGAGCCACGCCCAGGATCTGCCCCATCCTGGAGCAGCCACCACCATCTGCCACAGGCTGGGGAGAGCCCACCCCGTGGAAAACATCGCCGGTGCCGGCCCCGTCCCTGCCGGCAGGGTCAGTGCAGGACCTGCTCCAGCTCGTACTTCTCGCAGAACTTGCTGGTGAAGGGCAGGCAGGTGAGGTACTCCACCCAGCGCCAGTTCACGGGGTACACGTAGAGCCACACCACCAGCGAGGCGAAGAGCCCCACGAAGACCAGCAGGGACACGATGATCATGGCCCGCTTGCGGTACTTGTCCACCGTGCCGAAGGTGATGTAGGGCAGGAAGGCGAAGGACAGCAGGAGCCCGCTGAGGAAGCCGAAGAGGTGAGCGATGTTGTCGATCCAGGGCAATAGGCCACAGATGAAGAGGAAGAGGACGATGCCGAAGAGGTTGAGGAAGGCTTTCCAGGGTTTCTCCAGCACTTGCCAGCTTTGGAAGAGCTCCACGAAGAGGCAGGCCAGCAAGCCGAACTGGGAGCCGGCAGGGCCCACCTGCAGGGTGGGGGAAGTCAGGGCTGGACTCTGTGTCACCCCAGACACAGCCCATGTCCCCCAGGGATCATCTCCTCCCCTGGCAAAATGCATTTGGCTCCTGCATCCCTGTGCAGGATCCTGCGTGGGGCTCAGGGGTGGGAGCCCTGGCACAGGAGGATGAGGAGGGGAGCAGGGTGGTGCTGTTTTGGCAGAGCTGATACTTTCTGTGACTCTGCAACATCGGCCCCTCACAAACCACGGCCCCATCCTGGCACACCTGTGTGGGGATTAGGGCCCTTGGCATGATCTCATTTAAAGCCTGGCAGGGTTTGGCTGGCAGCAGATTAGCCATCTGCCTGCCCAGGGACCCTGCACGCTCACGGACACGGGTGACATGTGACACACACGGCACGTGGGGCAGGGACACCCCTTCCCCCTCTCCCTGCAGCAAACCCTGCCAGGGGGTGGGAATCTGTGCTCAGCCCTTCCCCAAACCTCTGCCCAGGATGGGGATGGAGAGAGGCATCCTTTGGTCCCTGGGAGCTGACAGGACTTGGGACAGACCCCCAAACCCTCACCTCTGCTCGGTAGGGTAGGAAGATGGCGCTGGCCAGGTTGCCCGTGATGCCACTGAGGATGAAGATGATGGAGATGCGATGCCAGCCTGCCAGCTTCTCCAGGTCCCGCAGCACCGTCATCTGGAACGTCACCGACACCAGGCAGTGGATGATGCTGGGGGAGAGGCTCTGGGTTAGAGACCCCTGCCCAGCCCTCCCACCCAGCGCCCCGGGGCACGGAACAGCTCACAAAACACCCCCACTGAAGGCACTTGTCACCACAGTCTGGGAGTGCCCTTCCCTCTTCTCTCCCAGCCCATCCCGGTGGGCACTCCAGTGCCCAGCTCCCCCACCCCTGGGGGTATGGGGGCTGTGGCTCACCCGGCATGCAGGAACAGGGACAGCCACAGGCGGTAGAACTGGTCAGGGACCTCCGGGTTCAGGAAGGGCAGGAGCCCACAGACCTCATCCAGGCAGTGCACCTGCAAAGGCAGCAGGCTTGTCCCCAGAGCCACAGGGAGCAGAGGATGGGTTGCCAACGATGCCATGTGGCAGCTGTGAGGGGATTCTGGATGGTGTGAGGCACCCACATTGCCATGGTGCTGGTAAGGGTGCTTCCTGCCCCACACCAGCAAGATGGGCACAGCAGCAGGAGCCTGGGCAAGGCACTTTGCATTGCTCCTGCTCACACCCATCCCAGCCAGGACACTGTAAAGCCCTGTGGCAACAGCACAGCTGCTAGCATGGTATCCCACATGCCCTGCCATGCCTCCCTGGCCCTGCTCACCTGCGAGCAGAGCGTTGCCTCCTCGTGGAAGTAGCCGTGCATGAAGTCGCAGTACTCCCGCGTGGTGATCTCGCAGCTGGCGGGGGGCAGGAGGGGGCTCACTGGGGGCAGGGCACACTCAGGACACCCCTGAGCATCCCCCTCTGCTCCCAGCCTGCTGCCACTGTGCTTCCCACCCCCCAAGGCTCTGTAAGCTCCCTCTCCCCCCAGGCACAGCTCTGGACACTGATGGGACAACACGAGGCAGGAGTGCAGAGGGGGCAGCCAAGCCCATGCCCCCTTTGCCCACCTGCCCTTGGTGCCGATGCAGCAGGGCCTGCCCTTGATCTCGCAGTCCAGGTGGGCGAAGCCCGTGTGGTTGGTTTTGGTCTCGTAGGTGCAGATCTAGAAGCAGGAGGGGAAGGAGCTCTGGTCAGTCTGGCCCCAGGCTGTCCCTGCAGACCCCTGCCAGGCTCACTGCCACTGCCACCGTGGGGCCACCAGCTGATGGTGGCAGCAGGGCTCTTACCGGCCACTTGGTGATGTCGTCCGGCCACACATGGGGTGGGTTGGATGCAGGCTCCTCACATGTCCTAGCAGGAGGGGTGGGGTGAGTTGGGTGGGTCCCCCCAACACATCCTCCCTACAGACCAGTAACCCCCTCAGGCACAGGCAGCTCTGGGACCTGCCTCGATCCTGCCCACCAGTGGGTGCCCCACAACACCCCACAGCAGCTCCTCTGCAGCTGAGCTACACAGAACTCCGACCTGTTGGACAACCCCACCCATGCCCACAGATGTTCCCATCCCAGCAGGACAGGGGCAAGCACAACACAACCTGCTGTGTTAAGGACAGGCCTCGCCTCAGTTTCCCCACTGATTCCCTCTTCTTTATCACTCTCCTCCAGTGTGCAAAAACCTCCCATCCCCTCGGGTAAGAGGATTCAAGGCAGCCAAGCTGGAAAGGCAGCCCCTTCTGCCATGTGCCACGCACAGCCAGGCCACCTCCACCCCGCTGCTGTGTCTACCTGGGGTCCTGGTGACACACAGCCCCCGAGGTCCGCTTCTCCCCCGAGCCCACGGCTGGCGCGTTGCTGCCCGGCCACTTGATGAACGTTGCCAGAGTCTCCTGCAAGGAGCACGGAGAGACTGAGGATGCAGCAGGGAATGCACGGCTCTGACCCTACCTGCATCCAGCCCTGGTGCAGCACAGGGCTGAGATGGTTTCCCCTGCTTTCCCCAGCCCTTCCCACGGCAGGGGCACGCACGGAGCAGTCCTGTGGCAGGGTCTGGATGCAGCCTGAGTTGTCGTTCTGCACGCAGCAGCCGGAGCCCCGCTCCCGGTCCCGCTCGCGCTGGATGAGCCGCTCCACCTGCCGGTCCTTCCGGATGCAGGGGGAGAACTTGGCTCCCAGGTGGATCAGGTCGATCTGGCAGGGGGATGGCAGTAAAGGGGATCCTTTGTCTGTGCACCTCCCTTCGCTCCAGCCATCCCCAGGGAGAGTTTAGCAGGGGCAGGGGGTCTCCACAGGCAATAGACAAAGGTCTCTGTCATCCCAGTGGAGGGAAGGCAGAACCATGCCACTGTGAAGCCCCATGTCCCAGTGGGATGGGGGCCCAGGATGGCAGGCTGAAGTCAGGAGGTCAAGCTCTGCCCCCGTGAGGAGCATTGCAGAGAACCACCTCAGCTCAAGGCAGGGGAAGCAGAGGGCAAAGCGTGAGACCAAAGGTCTGGCAGGGTCCTTACCGAGCTGGGTCCAATCCAGAAGTTTTCCTGCTGGATGTACTTGACACTCTCGTAGACACCCTTGTTCCTCAGCACCTGCCACGAGAGGCCAGGGTCAGCTCCCACTGAAGGGACGAGTGCTGAGGGGGTGCACCTCTGTCTCCCTCCACTCAAAAGGGGCTGAGCAGTCCCCTCATCCGAGAGGAAGGGCTGCTGGGTTCCACCAGCAAGGCAGGAGAGGGGAACACCTCTGCTCCCACCACATATTCTACTGCAACACGGTGCTGCTCGCTCCCTTGCCCTGGCCATTTCACAGAGCTTCTCAAATGCTGGCTCCCAGTGTCCCAGTGCTTGCAGGGAGCATGACACCATGGGACACCGGTGGTTACAGTCCCTCCCAAAGGATGACTCTTAAACTTACTAACTCTGTCGTCACATGCTGGGCGAAGCCAATGGGGGCAATGCCGTAGGTGCCGATGACCAGCAGGGTGATGAGAATGTGCACAAAGGTGATCCAGTATGTGAAATACGGCCTGGAGGGGACAGGACCCAAAACTGGTCAAAGATATCTGGGCAAAGGCACTCTGCAGTCCCCCAAACCCTGACCCCCAAGCACTGAGCGGGGCACACATGCGAGTCGGGGTGTCCCGTGCCGTCGGAGCCCCTCACCGGTGGCTGTCGGTGATCTCCAGCTGGGACTGCACGATGCTGCTCAGGCTGCGCCGGTAGGTCCTGTTCAGCCACTTGCCCACCACGCCCAGCCCGTAGTAGCGCTTCTTGCGGTCGAAGGCGAAGTGCTTCACTTTGGAGGCGATGCGCCTGCCCCGCCGCGGCGCCGGGCCCGCGCTGCCCGACACCGAGGCCAGCCGGACACCCTCCCGCCTGTCAAGAGAGAAGCCCATCACTGTTGGAAAGGATGGATAAATAGAATTGCCTGGCAAAAGATTTATGATAGTACAGCCAGGATGAAAACAATCCTCCGTACTGGGTGGACAATGCCCTTACCTACAGATAAGTCCAAAAGTCAAATGACTGTTCCATCTCAACCCCCAAAATGTACGGTTCATCCCACACCTGTAACCCTCCCCTAAAACATCAAGTGTCTGTAACCCCATTGGCCCAAGTCTTGTTCCAGCCCACCTTGAAGCCCCCTGATAAGGGGTCTCTGAGGGGCCAGACGCCCATATGGAACTTCTCCTCTCTTGGATCTTCCCCCCTTCTAGGAACTTCCACCCTCTCCTAGAGCATCCTCTTGTCTCTCCTCTCCCCCATCCCCTCAGGCCCTGCCCCGTGCTGCATCTGGCAGCTCCAAGCAAGACCTTTCTCCATCCCTAATAAATGTTATATCCTAAGACCAGCCTGCAGAGATCTCGTCTCCATTCATCAAAGCCGTCCTGGAGCGCAGCGTTCCCTACACATCACCCCTGCCAGAAAGGAGCAGCTGACAAACAGCCCATGGCAGAGCCCTGAGGATGCCCTGAGATGAGGCTCTGAGCGCCTCCTCTCTCCATTCTCCATCATCATGGAAGTGCCTGGTGCTCGTGGCTGGGGGCACCGCCCTGGGCAGCCCTTGGGGCAAGACCCACTGAGGGTTGGTACTCACGGGGTGGGCTGCTCCACCTCAGGGGACACCCTGGCATCCTCTGCCACCTGGTGCATGCGCAAGTACGTGGCTGATAGAGGAGGTGACTCAAAGACGTCATCGGGCATGGAGTACGTCTCATCATGCATGTCCATCTGAAAGGGGATGGATGCGTGTCCTTGGATGTGTGTGATGGGTCAGAAGCCCCCTGATGAGTATCCCCCTGGCCAGAGGGAGTGGCTGATCCCCAGTGACATCCCACTAATGGCCCATCACAGGGTGTGAAATGCGCCCAGATGGCAACGCCCAAGGGCAATCACCAAGGCTGGGGCACAGCAGCCACCATGCCTCTGTCACTACTGGGTGGAGTGCCAACACAGGGGTCCTTGTGAGTGCCCAGCTCCACACCCACCCCCTGTGCAGGGCACTGGGACAGCCCCAGCTCCAGCAGCCAGCATGGAAAGTTGCTTGCCTTACTGAAGAAGGACGAGTCCAGGGTATCAGCAGCATCCACCATGTCCTCGTCCATGAAGCTGGGGTACAGGAAGCTCCTCTTGCTCCTTCTCTTGGGAGCCAGTGGCTCCAGGACAGAGCGCCCCTTTGGCAGCACAAGCAAATGAAGGTAAGCAACCAGAAGCCCTCAATTTTTGCAGCACTGAGGGTTTCTCAGATCTTCCCTCTCCAAAGCCAAGTGGCAAGGATTAAATCCCAATCAGCCACCATAGACGCTCATGTGGGGAGAAACTGGCAGAAGATGCTGCCTTTAGCTCCTCAGAATCCACAATGGATCATGGCCACGTTAGTTAGCATGACAAGTGCCCTCTGAATTCATCTGGTCTCATACCCACAAACCCATCCCCAAGGTTTGCCCAGGGCTCCTCAGAACCATGGAAATTGCTGGAGAGGTTTTGTTGCCCCTCAGCAATGGAACCCAAAAGTTGTTTATTTCTCAGATTGTTTTTTTTTTTTAACCTGAGCTCTACTTAAAAGTAGAAGTTTTGCTGAAAATTGGACACTATCACCCTCAAATGTCTCCATGCAAAGCAAACAGCCAAGAAACAAAGACGATGGGTGAAGGACAGAACTGAGACCCAGCTTAGGAGGATGATCCCCCTCACCCTGCCCAAACTCACACGGAGGAGGGCTGCAGCTGCCTTGAAGCTCATGTGGGCCACAGACTCCCTCTTCCTGCGCGGCAGGCGGCCGTAGCCCGAGCGGATGCTGTTGAAGGACGCCAAGGAGACGACGCCGGGGGTGAGCGGGGGCAGGACGTGGTGGGGCGTGTGGGGACGGTCGGTCTCGTCGGGATGGCGGAAGGGACGGCCCCTGGCCAGCGGGTCCACGATCTGGGGGAGGGAAGAGGGGTCAGCGCTGGCAGAGCAAGGCTGGCAGCGGCACCCCTCGCCCCGAGCTTACCTTGGGCATCTTGGTGGGCTTGGGCGACTCGGTGGCTTGGAAGGAGGGCACCTCCTGGCTGGGCAGCTCCATGTCGCGATAGGCAGGCTTCAGCTTGCCATACCTCATGCTGCAGTGCTGCAGGCTCTTGCGCTGCCACTGCTGCCGCTTCCCCTCCCAGTCGCTGCTGACGCCGAACCACTGCGCCGTGCCCCTGGACACGGGGTGGGCACGGCTGTCACACCGCTGGTCCCCCACACCATGTGCCACCCAGCACGGCTGTCACACCGCTGGTCCCCCACACCATGTGCCACCCATCACACTTGTCACACTGCTGGTCCCCCACACCATGTGCCACCCATCACACTTGTCACACTGCTGGTCCCCCATACCATGTGCCACCCATCACACTTGTCACACTGCTGGTCCCCCATACCATGTGCCACCCATCACACTTGTCACACTGCTGGTCCCCCACACCACCTACCACCCAGCCATCCCCTCTGGCAGGCGGTTGGGCTTGGGGTGTCTCAGCCCAGGCTGCAGCAGGGCAGTTTTGACCTGGCTACGGGTCAAAGGGAAGTGGAGGAAAGTGATTCTTTGCACTCCTTTCTGAGACACAACTCTCCAACCCCACGCCAAGTCCTCTGCCAGTGCCCACAGTGTCCCGACACAGGCCCCTCTGAGTGACCCTGGAGCCCAGCCTGCCCTCACTTGCGGATGCTCTGGGACAGGGACGTCTGCCGGCGGAAGCCGGGCTGGCGCTCCGGGCGAGGCTCCTGCAGGCTCTTGCTCTTGCGGTAGATGGGCACCTTGGAGGGCTGGAAGGCAGAGCAGGGCATCAGGGACAGGCTGGCACCTGGCAGCCCCCCGAGCCCGCCGTGGGATGGACGCAGCCCCACCGCTCACCTCCTTGCGGGCACCATCCTCCTCGGCCTCCCGGGGCGGGATGACAATGGAGAGGTTGGGCGGCTTCTTGCTCTGCAGGCGGCTGCTGCTGGAGCGGCTGCCCCCGTTCTTGTCCCCGGCTGACATCTTGGCAGAGTGCAGGGAGTCAGCCACAGGGGGAGAAGTATTCCCCCAGGAGCTCGTGTGTGAGGAGGGAAGGCTGGGTCCTAGTAGGAGATGGGGCCTCATCAGTGGGACGTCACCAGACTGAACCCCCTGTGTCCCTGGCTGTGCTGGTGAGACCTTGCCATCATGAACCCAGCTGCTGTTGTCCCCAAAAGCCACATTCCATCCCTGAGTTTGGGTGGACTGGAAGGCTTACATTAACCACATTTGGAAGGCTTACTTTAACCATTCACACCCAGTCCCCTGGGGATCACCAACACCATCCCTTCACCTGCTGGGAGTAGGGCAGGGATGGCAACAGTGACCAGGTCAGAGCATCCCCATCATCCCAGCATGTGCTTGTGCGACACCCAGGTTTCACACCCAGCCTGGATGAGCCTGACCATGTGCCTTGGAAATATGGGGGATCCCAGGAAGCCCTGGCCAGGCCCGTGGCACACAGCTGCAGCACACGGGAACACCAGCCCTCCCAGTCTGGCAAGGGAGCCAAGAGGAGAAAGCAGGGGATGTCTGCAAGGAGGTCCTCTTGCCTGGACAGGATGGGAAGAGAGGGGGTTCACAAGGTCTGGAAACACCTGATCCACTTCCCCACATGCCCACAGCTCCCACGTGGACCTGTCATGTGTTGGGGTGCCCCATGAAGGGGAGATGCAGGACATTCCCCTCTGGCACGTGCATGCACACACAAGGCTGGGAGACCAAATCCCCCCTGGCACCACGTGCAACGAGAGGGAAGCTTAACAGCCAAGACGTGGTTAATTCTTAAGAAATCCCTTCCCAAGGGCCCCTGCAGCCAGCTCTACCAGGCAGGGCTTGCTTTGCAGGAAAAATAATTCCATCAGAGTGCAAGAGAACAAGTCCCAGATCCTATTAGGGACTAGGAGCACAATCAAAAGGGAGGCACAGCCCTCTCTGACCTCTTCTGTTTGACCATGTGCCAGTGCCCAGGGGATTCACACAAGTCTCATAAGCATCTCTCGTCCCCCAGGACAGCCACAGCCACGAGAATGGTGTCACTGGCTGCAAAATACCAGCTTGATCCACAGGCCTGGTTCCTCTCCCTGCCCGAGATCCCAATCACCAGACTCCTCCAGCTCTGCACTCCTTAGGCAACATCACTTGAGCAACCAGATGAGTGACTGAGATCTCACCAGCCCCTTCTGCAACAGGATCCCATTGGCAGCCCATTCCCAAAGCAAGAGTCAGGGACAGGGACACTTTTGCAGCTCCCTTGGCTCTTGGAGTCCTGAACCCTCCCCTTAGACCCCACCACAAGCAAAATCTGGCCCAAGGGATCAGCTTCATGGGGGTGCAGCAGTCCAGAACCAGCTCCCCAGGGAGGGGGAAGCCTGGAGGCAGCAGCACATGAGGGAATTGTTGCCCTCCATCAGCTCCTGGGCCAAGTGATAATCTTCTGCTCCTGCATTAAAACGGGTGCTGGGCTCCCTCTCCAGCACCAAAGCTGGGAGCAATCAACTCCCCAATTTCCCCTGGGGGCTCAGCTAGTGCTGGTCCCCACGAAGGTCTCCTCACCTCATAAGAGTGATCCTGCTCAGTGATGGCAAACACCCACGGCAGCCTTCCTCTGCCTCCGTCCTTCACGCACGGGAGCCCCGGGACACGGCCAAACTCCTCCTGCAGGGAGAGGCTGTGATGAGAAACCACGCATGGGAAAGCAGGCAAGGGCTGCAGGAGCATCCTGGCAGAGGGAGAGCTGAGCTCAGTGCCCCCGAGACCTTGGGGACAGGGCTGCAGGTGGCTGGACACCAGGGACAGGGATCAGCCACTGGCACAGGCCAGCAGGAGGAGGAAAAGCTCCCATTTCCAGCAATGCTCCATGGCAGGGAAGAGCATGGGGCAGGCAGGGAGTTTTCCCCTGCTGCTGCTTTCCTGGCTCTTGGGAAGCAAGACACCCAGGAGGAGCAGGCATGGAATATGAGTGCCTCACTTGGGTATTTCCTAGCTGCTAAACTGGGGGAGTGCCAGCCCCAGCAAGTAAAACTTTCCATCCCATTGGTGAGCTGGAGGCTCTGTTTGTTTTCCTCCCAGGGCAGCCAGCAGTGAGCCCGAGATGGCAGCTGCTCTGGAGAGCTGGGAATGGAACACGCTGTGGCCAGAGAATCCCTGGGGCACCCTCATCCTCCTCCAGCTCTGGGGAATGGCTCTGAGTGGTAAGAACCAGCAGAGCCTGAAGCATAGAAATGGGAGCCAAATTCTTACACAGCCCCACTCTTACACCCCCATCCCAAAATCCCATCCCCAGTTGCTTCCTTCACATCCCCATGCCAAAATCCCATCCCCAATTGCTCCCATCACACCCCCATCCCAAAATCCCATCCCCAATTGTTCCAATCACACCCCCATCCCAAAATCCCATCCCCAGCTGCTCCCATCAAACCCCGGACAGCCTCATATCTCTGTGCTTCCCAGCAAAGCAGCTTTGCAGCACGTTTAGAATCCTGGTCTGGCTTCCCAGCAGCTGCCCAGGCCGGAGTGGAGGGCTGGGCTGGCCACTCCCGAGGTGACTCAGTGCCAGGGGAGCTGGCACAGCTCGGGCACCGGCCGGAGCAGCGCTGGTCACGGCTCTGTGCCTTGGCACACTCAGCACTGAGTGCGAGGGGGAGGAGGGCAGCAGCCCCTGAGGGCTCAAGGCTCCTTTGCCACCCCCTGAGCACAAATCCTGAGCCACCAGGAGCCTTATCCCGTGCCAGGCAGAGAAATCCCCAGAGGACCGTGCTGGGAAGGTGTTTTCCAGCTCGCCCTGTGCCTGCTGCTGGTGCCCAAGCCCTCTGGAGCTGGCGTGCTCAGCGTGGCAAGGGGCCAGACAGTGCCTCCACGCAGACACAGCCTGCCACAAGCCCTCCAGATCCCCTGAGGTCCCTGTCACCCCCCAGCCCCGGCACAGAGGGCTCTGCCACCAGCAGCAGGGCTCCCTGCCCTGCAGCCCTGGCACCAGCTGCCCCATTGCAGGGCACAGCTAGGCTGCAGGTCCCCAGGGAGCCTCAGCCCACTCCTCGGACACCCAGGGTGGACGTGGTGGCTTTGTGCTGGGGACAGAAAAAGGAAGTGAGAGGTGGTGACGTGCCCAGCTGGCGTGGGGGGATGGCTGAGCACATGCCCTGCTGCTCACAGGAGCAGGGGGTGACTTGGGATGGGAGCTGGCAGCCACAAGCGTGGCCTGAGCTTGGTAGGAGCTGTGCTTTGGGCTGGAAGAAGGGTCCTGGGGGCAGCACGCTGTCACTTTAGGCTGGGAAAGGGCATGGAGGGAGGACCACCTGGTCTGTTGGTAAGAAGAGATCCCCCACTTTCACCATCTCCCCTCCCAAAGCTCTTGACCACTGAGGGTCACCAAAGCCTGACATCCAGCACGAGGGACACAGCCTGTGCTCCAACAGCAGCAGGGGGGTGAAGAACCCACCCTTTCCCACGAGGACAGATGTGCTGGCATCACTGGAGAGCAAGTGGGATGAGGTTTGAGCCTTCAACCAAAAAAAGGCACAAGGAAGGTGACCAGGGCTGGCTCCCAGCCCCAGGGCGAATCGCAACAAGCACTGACCAGAGGGAGAAAGTGATGGAAAAAATGATGTGGTTCATACAAAGTGTCACTGCAGACACGCTGGGACGGCCCAAGCAACACGAAGGGACCATCAGCAAGGCCAGGTGAGCAGAACTGGGACAGCCAAAGCACAAGACAGCAGAGACAACCCTGCAGAGCAGCCCTGGCTGGAGTGCAGTGGGTTCACGGATGCTTGGAGAAGGATTGGGATCTCTCTCCCCGAGCCTGTTGGCACTGGGGGAAGGGACATTACTGCAATAACACTGTCCCCATCTGCTGCAGTTCAGCTGGAGGAAAAAGCAGCTCTGAGCCACCCAAGGGTGTGGGGCAGGGAGTGGGACCCCCACAAGCACCCATCATACTCATCACCCTGAGCATGATGAGCCCCAGCTCTTCCTCTCCACCTCCATGGGCAGGGAGAAAGGGGCCAGAAATGCCACAGGGTCCCCAAAACCCCCCCACAGCCTCTGCCAGTGCTGGCACCCAAGAGCCCATCAGGCAGAGCTACTGCCCATAAATGATTAATGAGCACGTTAAAGACCTCTCTCAAGGCTGGAGCTGCGTTAAAAGGTGCTCCCAGTTATTAAGAGCTCCAGATGGGAAACTCAATTTTGCAACTGCTCTGAGCATCGAGCTCCTGTGGACTCACACCCGAGCAGAGACCCAGCACCTTCTCTGCTTCTGCTCCCTTTCAAAAAGCTTTTTACCATTTTGCAGTCTCACGTTTCAGGGCTGGAGAAAAGGAGCCAAAGCACAAACAGCTCTTGAAATAAAATCATATTATTGGAGGAAAAAAAAAAAGAAAACCCACGTGTCTCAACCCTGTCACAACAGCTCTGGATGGCAAAACTGAGACGCAAGGTTTTGCTCTGAGTCGTGAGAGAGGCCCTCTGTGCTTCAGGGGGGATGGTTTTCTGCCCTGTCCCTTATCACTGAGCCACACGGTCAGCATGGACACCCACAGGGGCTTAAATCCACATCTCGGTGGTGGCTGGGGCAGGAAGGGGGGCACGGATGAGTGCTGAGCTCCCCTCTGCCCCGCCAGCACACGCCTCAGCAAGCCACCATTAGAACATCCTCTCCCGTTCTCCCCGTGGGGAGGACGTTGGGCAATGGCAGCAGGTTTGGGAGCACGGCACGCCCCGCGAGGAAGGAAAGCAGCTGAGGAGACACAGCATGGCGGGCGGGGAGCCACGCTGGGCCTGCTGATAAGGCGAGGCCTGCATGGCGGGGACACGGGGACACGGGGACACACAGACACGGGACACGGGGACATGGGGACACAGGGACATGGGGACACGGGGACACGGGACACGGGGACATGGGGACACAGGGACATGGGGACATGGGGACACACGGACACAGGGACACGGGGACACACAGACACGGGACATGGGGACACATGGACATGGGGACACAGGGACATGGGGACACAGGGACATGGGGACATGGGGACACA